TCATTCAATGACAAGCGTAAAAAGAACCTCTTTTCCCGAAAATTTCCCTTCTACAAGAACAAGGACCAGAGTGAGCAGGAAACCAGTGATATTGACCGTAAGTATGTGGAACCCACGGACAGACACACGCACGTAGAAGGGCCGACTAGATGCAGTAGGGTGTTACCATGGAGACAGTTTCACGAGCTGCAACAGGCCAACGGACCCGAGGTGCGCTTGACAGCCCACATCCGTCCAGGCAACCAAGCACCTGTGCTGGCAAAGGAAATTCCAACCCAAGAGCCTCCCCATTGGGCATAAACTGGATAACGGTGTGTGGTGGTGGCACACGCTGCACTGGTGGAGGTGATCGCTGTGCGATGCTGTCAGTGATGGTGTCTGAGGGTGGCCTCTGAGGAGGGCACGCAGCATCCAAGAAAAGCATTTGTTAAGCTGGCATCTCCGAGTGGTTGTGCAAAAGGCAGGCCATTCTGGAAAAAACAAAAAAAAGTTTTCCAAATGCAGTTGCCTCAGTTGGGAAGTGCAGACTCCAAGCTGCCTTCTGTGTCACGTGCCTCAGTGACTGCACTTCACGTGCCGGTCTGTGTAAACCCGATAGGTGTTTCTTCTCCTGTGATGTTCAGGGAACTGTCTCCTGTCGTAGCGCCAATTTTATATATTACTGACAATTATTTTCTTTGTGATTGTCTTTTTATTGCTTGCCCTCTGGGGACTACTCTGCAGGAGGTCCCTGACGACATGGGATCAAAAGGCCTGAGTAAGTGATCCAAATACTCCCAAGTTATTTTAACCTCCATCTGATATTTTTTTTTTTTAGCAGATCTCTTTGAGACTGGTGCTCTACAGGCATAAGGAGGTTAACTCTAAAAATGTTTCATAAGCTTTTTCTAGTTTGTCATGTTCTGGGGATTTTTGCTTTCAAGAACATCTTTGAGTTCATGTTATCACATAAATTTTTTTTGTTGTTGTTCTGAAGCTTACTAATGCTCACCTGTTTGTCCTTGTAAAAACCTGTGATTGTAAATTTGTTGATATGCTTTGGATGTCATTTTTACATTGGTTTGTGTTTTTATTTTTATAAATAACCTATGTCTTTTTACAATAATGTTAGCACTGACATAATATTTTAACTAGTTTCTGTTTTCAACACTGCTTAGGTGACTGATGTTTACAGCTATTAAAACTTTAACAGAAGAGTTAAGGGCTTTTCTGACTTATCTGAACTCTTAGAGTACTCTTAAACCACTGTTGATCCCCTGGGAAGGTGACAGTAAGCACTAGTTCTATTTGCTGCAGAACTATGTGTTTCTGTCCCATTGAACGCCATAAGATTGAAAGCTGCTGAGGACTCCAGCAGACCTGTTTGTGCTCACAAACACCACTACTGTCTTAAAAGAGCAGGCCAAGTAAAGATGCTAAGATCTTGCTTTGATCACAGATGTTAAATGTGTCCTGTGTTAATGGGATACCAGCAGAAATGCCACTAAAGATAATATTCTTCATAGGTCCTCATTCTTGTCCTCTGTTACGCACAATGTTCCTGAAGTTGCCTGGAATAAGTGGCCCACTTCTATACTGGTCTCAGTCACTGAACCGAAGTACTGATACTGAGGCTGGTTGCAATTAGATTTCTTGATCTGGAGCAGAACCAACCATAACCAAGCTTTACAGCCTTATGATCCTGTCTTTGAACTTTGAACTCCTTTACAGCATGATCTAAAAATTTCACCTGGTGGTGATTCTGCTGTAAAAACAAACGTTTGCTTCTAGTCTTTATTTTCAGCCCAGACTTCTTAAAACTGCCTTAATCTTGCTTAATATTACTTGGGCTGTTCATGACCAGTGCTATTTTTGGCGCTCAGGTTTCAGTCTTGCATATTCATAAGTCGTGCCTGTTATGAGATCATTGCAGCACTTATTATTTTTAGTTGACTAGCCCACTGTCTTCCTTGGAAGACAATTCCTTCATGTTCTGCCACCAGGCTTTTAAACAGCTCTGTTTCCATTCTCCACACCAATGTGGGTGTTTGTCTAAGACCTGCAGATGAAATGGCAGTAGATCCAAGTTGCTGCTGCTCACAAATGCCGGAAAACATTTCTTTGCCTTTCCGTCATGGAAACAAGAGTTCAGTCAAGTCAAAGATTTGCCTTTTAATCATATTGGTTCAATTAAAAAAATAAAACTAAAAGGTTAATTAATTTACTTACAATACCTGTAACAATTTTATTATGCTTATTAATCACTAAAAGTATACTTTTTTCATACCTGTATTCCTTCCTTCAGGGTCCCTTTGCTTCCTTCTCTTCAATCTTGTAGTGGAAGAACCATACTGAATTTAAGATACTATGTATTCAGTTTGTATATCAACACATGTTTATTTTATGCAGTCTCGGCCTGCAAATGCTTCTGTTTATCAATAGAAATAGAATCATTTTGTGGCAAGAAAATTGCTTCATTACAATAAGGTTCAAGAATATCTAAGTCTATATTGGTCACCTAGACTTGTACAATTTTCAGATGACAGAATAGATTGATACCAGAAAATAATTCAATTGCATTAAATTATCATAAATAACTGAAATGTTCATTTATCATGTAGTATTATAAACACAACCCACCCAAAAAAGTGTGCAAATACAAGCATCCTTTAGCTTGTGAAATTTTTTAATTAGTTTGCAAGAGCTGAGAGATTTATATTTATGCACCAGAGTAGAAGGCAGGAACTTTTGAGAATTAAAGCATTATTGGGAGGAAAAAGTTAAACAATCAGAAAAAAAAAAATTTGCACTACAATTTAAATAAATTATTAAATATACCATAAAATAGTATCTGCTCTTGAATTGACTAAAATATATTCCGTTTTTTTCTGCTCCTTGAGTCTTCATAAAATTATCTTAGTTGCTTACTTAAATAATATAGTTTAAATATGTAATCTCATGTTTTTTGCATAACCAAAATCATCTTGAAGTGGAAACACCAAAATTACAGGGTTGCATATGAAATATGAAGTAGTGTACTTTTCATAATCTTATTTTGATGTGCTATTTAATGTTTTTTTTTTCCTTTTTATTAACATCCATTCCTTTTGTATGAAATTAAGCTTGATCCTGAGAGGTATGAGAAGTACCTTAAAACATTTATGTGCAGTATGTATTGATTTCAGCATTTCAATGGTATCAGTATTGTCTTTCATCTGAATTATTTTTGTCAATTTGTTTTCTTTTGGACTCATGCCATCAATGTGTGTTCCTTATTTTTCCATTGTGTTGCAATTTCAGAGCATGTAACCTCTAATGCCAGCGATAGTGAAAGTAGTTACCGTAAGTGTTTTTAAGTTCTTTGTTTATTTAGAACCCTTGTTTAGTACCTCTTCCTTTGGTTTTGTTTGCCTGTCTTTTCTCTGTATTTGTGTGTTCACTAAAACTGATATAATTCTGACAAGCATAATTCTATTTAGTTAAGCTAATACTGGGATTGTAACAAAACTGTGTAACCTATAACCTGTAACCTATCTGCCTACAACTTTTCACAGCTGATATTCACGTTTAATACGTGAAAGAGAAATGAGCAAATGTGTTACCCTTGCTTTTCAGTTTTCACTTAACCAATTTTATTGAGTATGGATGCTTTGAATTGTCTTCAAAGAATGTAACACATTCAGTGCTAGAGTCAGTTATGACAGATTAGCACGGTAGACTGTCTCTCATTTTGAAGGCATAGTATCTTTTTAACTTCTGGACTGAATTGGCTATTTTATTACCCAAACGGCAGCAGTACTACATGTTCACACTGGGTAATTTGCTGTGTGATACCTCTATGCAATGCCTTAAAAAAGAGGGGAAAATTGTCCTGTCTTGGACCAAATGTGAACTACCATTCTGCTGCTGAGCTCCAGCCAGCTTCTCAGCAAGGAAGCCAGGACGGAGCAGAGCAGGATGAGGAAAAGGTGGAGGAGGTGGCGGGTGAAAGAGCAGTGACATCCCCGCCGCGTGGCGCCGATGGTGGCTTGGTGCTCAGCTCCTGGTTCCGCTGCTGCAGAAACGACTGTTGGGAGGCTGTTGTTCTGGGGGTGATGAGGAGAACCTTCTCCAGCGGCCGTATTTGTTTGGGAGCTGTCGATCTGCTCGGAGACAAGGAGCTGTGCAGCAGAATTTTCCATACTGATGAATACACTTGAGGAGAGGATTTATAAGCACAAAAATTCCCTGGTGTTCACAATGCTGATAGTGTTGTAGACTGTAATTGTCATTAAAAATGCATGTATATATATATATACACGCACCTCTGTTCAAATTTCTAAGTTAGTCATTTATGTAAGAACATATCATTAAAACTGTTTCACCGTGACAGTTTCTTCTTAAATTTATGGCTTTACTAGTATTTTTCTTTAGGTTTCTGTCAGAGCTTGTTTTAGTTATCTTTAAAGCTCATTATTGCCAGTTTTAGGTAGGGGTTTTTTGGCGTTATTGCTTGAGAAGCCGTAATTTATTATGAATGTCATGTAGTTTCTTACTTGAATGTGTAATTTTAAGCATCTTTTATTAAAATGATTCTTTTAATTTCTTCTTACTGCTGTCTATTATGAAAGTTATCTTGATTACAGATGAGTACGGTTGTTCAAAAGGTTCATTCTATTAATCTTCGTTTTTCCAAAGTATTGATAAGCAGTGACAATATATACTTTTTGCCCTCAATCAGGGAATGCTATATACTTGTATTATCTCTTTAACATTTTGCTTAATGAATTGCTGATCTTGCGGTGATGTTACCCCCAAAAGTAGTTATTTACATGTCAGCAGGATCTTTTGTAGATGAGTTGATAGTTGAGTGATCCACTACTCCTCTCCCTAGCTCAAAAGAGGTTCTGAAAGTATATACTGTCTTTCTGAAATCCATTTGCATGAGTGACTTCTTGAGATATTAAGGTATACAGGTTGCATGTTTTCATGTCTGTCTTAATGTATTCCTCACTTGCAATAATTGGGGAAAAAAAAAATGTTCGCTACTGTATTGCTGTGATGAGTTTGAATGCAGATTTATTTCATATAACACAGATCTCATTATTCTTAATGAGATTGTAAAATTCAGAACTAAAATATCCATAGTCTTTGCCTTGGAATAAGGAAAATACATATAAATAGTTTTTGCATTTATAAAAGATTTTCCCTCCATCTATTTCTGTATTAGAGTGGGATAACATTCCTTTACTTGTTATGAGTATGGCTCTCAAATTCCAAAGTACATTCCAAAAATTACTCAAATGAGTTATTGGGACGCTATTCAAAGTTCACAGTGATGACATAGAATTTGAACTTGCATCTTCAATTCTAAATTCTTTGCTATCATGGGATTTACTTTTAGGATTCAAAAAATCTTACTTTGAGACATTTTGTTGGACTAAAAATGTTTTTTAGAGAGATGGCAACTGAGGTATATTTCAGATGCTTTCACCAGCTTTTGAAAAGCTTGCAGCTCTCAAAGGGTCAAAACTTACTTAGTTTCATTCACTGCTTACCTACTTTCTGAAGCTGAGAGTAATACAAAGCATTCTCTGTTTCTAAGTTCATCTTTAAGAAGTCGTAGTTATTTAGTAAACATAATCACAGTTTGGAGATTTTGTAGAATTAGAGTGCTCAGAGGTTCTTGTATGAGTGGCATTTAGTGAAAAAGGTCGTAAAACATTGCATACCTTGCCAAACATGATTTTCAGATTAGTATAAAAAGTATAAAAATGTTATTTTAAATACTGACGTCCTAGTATGGAAAATGCTTGTGATGAAGGTGGCTTTGCCTCTAGCAGTGAATGATAGTATGCATGCATCTGTTCAGGGAGAAATTTATAACAGCTTTTGAGTAATGCTTTAAAGTTCTTGTGCTTGACGTCAGCTTGACATGCTAACACATCCAAAGAAATTATTTTTGCTGTATGTGGCTTATGCTTTGCCATTTTTGTTTGGCTTCTCTGTGTGATTTTTTATAATTCATTGCTCTTGGAAAACGTCCTGCATCATTATTATGTATATTTTACTACGCGATGCCTGTATCTCATTATGGTTCATTAAAAGAATCTATTTACATATATTGGCTTAGAAAATAACACATGGCTATTTCTTTGCATTTACATTTCTAGGCGGCCAAGAGGAATATGTTTTGTCATACGAACCAGTCAATCAACAAGAAGGTTTGTCGATCTCATTTAGTATAAAATAAACACTCTCTGAATTATCAAAATATTTCGGCTGATACATGTCTAATGAGATAAAATCAAAATGGAAATTGGTAGGAAAAAATAATTTATTTTGTCACACATTATAATAAAATACTTTTCAGTAATTTCTGATGGGATCTTGTCACTTCCATCTGATTTTGCTGCACTACGTATAAAGGGGTGTAGTATTTTTACTACTCCTATTGATCTTCAGAGATGTGAACAGTTGATTTTCATGGCATGATACATACCTCATATATTTTTAGCTAATCTGTAAAAGGGATGTCTTTTGAGAATAATTGATATATATTCCATATAAAATACTGTGGCAATTGAAGTAAATACCTGTCGTGTCTACGTGTCTTAATGGTTGCAGCTTCATTTTGGTTTCATGCCATGAGTGATCTGGCCCAGTTGCCTTTAATACTGTTACTGAACATGCATGTACAGACTTTCTGCTCCACTTTGTTAAGCTTATTGCCTGGGCTCCACTTCATCAGTAACTTGTTACACAAGACTAATAGCAACTAAATTATTTAGGTCGTATGAATTGTGATTTTGATAGGCTTTCGATAAAATCATGGATGACACACTAGTGAGCCACCCTAAGCCTTCATGCAAAGATATTTATTATTGAATTAATAAATTGACAGTTACTGTATCCAAGACATTTTTAATCAATATGTTAGTATTGAAGAGCACTGTTTTTCAGAAGTCGTATGAAAACATTTTATAGGTCAAACTTTATATAATTTGGGTTTTTTCTGCAGTAATGACATATTCAACCTAAAAATAAAATGTGTAGAGCTGAAATTGTATTCTAAGGCTTAGTTACTTGGATGTTACTGCCTTCCTGTAGGCTAATACATGATAATTAGATATCTTTGACTTCTTAAATACAACCAAAACCATTTATAGCTTTCAAACAACTTAAGCTCCTTTAAAAAGATTGTTAGTAGCTACAGAAGTTGCAGCTGAATATCGTCATGCATGGATGTTTAAGCTTAAGTTGTTTTAGAAGCAAAATATATATATATATATTTTCCCAATAGAGAACTAGAATTTCAAGAACTCTGCTTCTGTTTTGGTGCCTTGCTGAAGTGTAAAGATTTTCAGATTTTTTCCTTTTGCTACTTTTGTTCAAATCAAGTCTGTTACTTGTAAACAGGATTTTTCAAAGATCTCGTAATGCAAAACTGATTTTTAGTCACATCTAGTGTAGTCACTAGTGCAGTCAGTGTAGTTTTAGTCAACACCTAGAGTAGTGTTTTGAGGGTGAAAATCTAGTATCTCACCTTGACTTCGGTATTAATTGTTGTATATCCTTCAGTGTTTCTTTTTTTTATTTGATTTCCCTCCTCCCTACATCCCAAGAGTATCGATCTTGTAAATCTTTAACAAGATTAAAACTTGTTTTGCTGAAACTTAAAGCTTTGCAATCTGCTCTAATGTAACTGATATTGCTGTTCTGTGTCTAATAGTCAATTACACTCGACCTGTGATTGTTTTGGGACCCATGAAAGACAGGATAAATGATGATCTGATCTCAGAATTCCCAGACAAATTTGGCTCGTGTGTTCCACGTAAGTGTCAGCAAATACTAAAGTAATTCTAAGTGGATTATTCTTGTTACTTATCCTCTCTATGTTGAGTTAAAAAAATGTTAAAGCTTTATTGTCTAAGCTTTGTAGGACCACTTGTCCTTTATCAGTTAATAACAGTTTTGCAGTATAAATGGAAGACTCTTTTTGCCTATTACAGGGGGAAAAGTCTTTTTGCTCTTCTTTAAAAAATAGTATTTTGTCTCTAAAGATACTACAAGACCAAAACGAGATTATGAGGTGGATGGACGTGATTACCATTTTGTCACTTCTCGAGAGCAAATGGAGAAGGATATTCAGGATCACAAATTCATTGAAGCTGGCCAGTACAATAATCATCTTTATGGAACGAGTGTGCAATCAGTGCGAGAAGTAGCAGAAAAGGTAAATCAGTGCCGGTTTTACTTGGATCTTTTCAGTGCCTTAAATACTAAGTGCCCAGAATGGAAAATGGACCAGGCTGTGTTATTCATTCTTCATTTCTCAGGGCATTTGCCGCTTTTAAAGAAGAGTTAATATATGGAAGATGTAGACAGGCGAGCAAATGTAGTAAAACACTGCTAGAACATACTAACACCTTAGATGGTACCAGTTAGTATCCTGATCCATGGACATGATTCCCATGGAACTGGGAAACAGTTAATCCCCAGCTGAATGCAAGCAGCTGTGCATTGTTTATGTTGGAAAATAACTCTGTAAGAGCTGCTGGAATTAACTGTGCGAGAGATCAGAGCTAAATGATTCTAGTGATTCCGTCTGCTTTGAAACAGAAATATTTCAGTCATTTCAGATTGCTTCTACTTCCTTGCTCTTCGCTGTGGCTTCGAAGGATTGCACTTGCAGAGGTTCAAGAAGAGTGTTTCATGATATGTGGTTTTTTGGTGCTTGTGGGTTTATGTCGTGGCTCACAAATTCTGCCATTTGTACTAGATCTCCTACTAAAGAAAAGGCTTTTCTGATTTTAGTCACCCAAGGGCTGTCTTCTCTTATTTCCCCTCTTCCCCATTCTCTTTCCTCTTTAGGAGGAATTTCTCCCAAATCACTCATGTGCTGCCAAGAAAGAAAAGAAACAGGTTTGGAGGAAAAGGAGATAATGATGTCAAGATACAAGGAGCTGTGTAAAGAGAGCTTGTGACATGAAAACCCCCTGAGGGCCAGAGAATTGCTTGTAGTGGGAGTGTGGAAGGAAAGAGGAAAGCAGCTGCGTTCTGTTCCAGCTGCCCCTGGAAGGGTTCTGATTTTATCTTTTGAAAAATTAGAAAAAATCAGTCCAAACATTCACCATATCAAATCTGCTGTTATACAGCATGATACTTGGGGGAAGGAAAGGAGTTGTATTAAGATCTGTCTAAATATTCTGATAGTGGCAAATTCCTGTGGCATCAATGATGGTCATTCACTCAGATATGCCATTTAGTCATCTGGCTCTGGTCTAAAGTGAGTCTGTGAGATGGCCACATCCTTAAAAGATAGTGGTTTGAAATACAGCTGGTCCTTTGAATGAATCAGTGTTGTTGATTGGGCTGCAACCTCTGGAGAAAGGAAGGATGAAGAGTCGAGAACATCTCACATGCTGGATGATCCCAGCACCCAGAGCAGTGCAGTGAAATCGTGATAATGTTAATGTGGATGCTCCAATTTCACTGGCTTCAGTGGAGTCACATTTTCACTTCTGAATTCTTGTACTATGCATGGCTGTGACTTGAAATCTGCTTAATGGCATTTTCCCTTCTTGTTCTTGCTTTCTAGGGTAAACATTGCATTCTTGATGTTTCTGGTAATGCGATCAAAAGGTTGCAGATTGCCCAGCTGTACCCTATCTCCATTTTTATTAAACCCAAAACAGTGGAAAACATCATGTGAGTAAAAGCAAGCACTTCGGGCTAAATTGTATGAAACTGTCAGTGTACTTCAAAGCCAGCTTGCAGAAGAAAAGCAAGCTGGAAAAAAAAATAACGTTTGCATTTTAAACAACATTTTATTATTAGCTTTGTTCATGTAACTTCTTGAGTTGAATTTCTTGAGACTTACAGATTGGGTTTCAAATCCAAATCAAGGGTCCTTGAGAATGAATCCCACTGTCTACGAAGAATTCTAGGCAACTTAACACCAGAAAAACTCATTCCCACTGAGTGTCTACTTAGGTTTCTTGGAAGACTGTTTTTACTAGGTTTAGTGCTTTGAGAGCAATTTTAAATTTTACTTCTAAAGATGCCAAATACTTGAGAGTAGTTTTTTATGTGTAATGTTTTTAATCTCAGGGAAATGAATAAACGCTTAACAGAAGACCAAGCCAGGAAGACATTTGAGAGAGCCATGAAACTGGAACAAGAATTTACTGAACACTTCACAGGTTTGTTTTGTTTGAGACTGTTCTCTTCTGCAAATTGAAATTTTATTGCTTGCTGCACTGTAATTGCCAGGGCATTAAGATAAGGCTGAATCTTGCTTACAGTCTGGTCTGTGATTGCTTTGAGGCATTGAGCAGTCCTCATACTTCTACATTGGAATCAGTTTGGTGAATTCAGTAAATGTAAAACTTTATCTGCAGCTTAATCAAGGTCTTAAAATCATGAGAATTTTACTATTTTTCTAATTATTGAAATGTAATTATTTGCTTTTTTGATCTACCGAGCGCTTAAAGCTTTTTTAGTTGCCCAGAAAAACTCTCTGTCAAATGATATTACTTTCTAATTTTTGAATCCAGGAAGCAAAGAATTTTGGTAATTAACATTCTGGAAATGGGATGGTACAGCATGATGGTACTCCAGCAGATCAGATATGTGCATGCCTGGTCCTAACAGGAACAACAAGGGATCAGCTGCAAGCACTTGAGCCGTGCTAAATTTTTGCATTGTGACTTGCAGTATCAGGAGAAGGCTGAGAGTGGGGACAGTTGAGCTTGATCATGGGGAGAGCAGAAATAGGCCTTGTCTCTTCCTGTCCTAGACACCATTCCTCCCTGGTGCATTTTCCTGTAGTATTGCAGAACTTGCTGCTCCATTTACCTCCTTTTGTGACATGTCTCCCTTTCCCAGTTCCTTCTCCCACTTCTCATGTGGGTAGAGCTGTGAATGCAGAGCTTCTCCGTGATCCATCTGCTCTCCCTGGGCAGAGATACGAGAGAGGCTGGCAGCTCCTCTTGGGAGGGGGAGATGGAGGAGCCCATAGACTCGTGCCCCGGCCTCCCTGTTCTCTGCATCCTGCACCCCACCTTAAACGAGTTGAGTCCTTCCCTTTCTGGCCACCTCTCTCCCCCAGTGCTGTTGCTGTCTGTCCTACTCCTCCCAGAGCTCTTCATCTGCATGTGCCCCAAAATCTGAGGTTCTCAAAGTATATTGCAAATTCTTCCTTTTATAGAGGTCCTTTCCAAATGACTTACTAGGATGGCAGGTTTGTTTTCAGGAAGCAAATACAATTTTGTGTCTACTTCCCATCAAATGATCTCATTTTAATAGATATTAATTAAATATTTAGTAGTTAGTTACTGGTGTTCTGCCAGGTTGTCTCAGTGATATCTTGGCTAGCAGTTCTTCAGGAAATTAAGGGACATAATTCAAGATGTTTTCAAGTTGGGGCCTTTTTATGAGCTCCTCTGCTCAGGGCCATGTTTCTTGCTTGTCAGAGGTATAAAGCTTTGTTGACAAAGGCAGATAGCAACATCCCATGGGCAGGTTTCTGTCCTTGATAATCCACTTTAGGGTAAAAGTCCTTTTTCTGGTTTGAGGTTCTTGAAGATATTCCATTCCCACCTACTGCTTAGCATGTGGAGGCTGCTGCTCATATGACTCCACTGGTAAAACAGAATGTGTGAATAATCTCTAGTCTCTTAAAAATACCACATCATGTGGGATAACTGAAATCCACTTCCTGAGCACAGTAGGGTTAAATACATTGAGACTTTGCACTGAAGCATATGAAGAGCACGTCCAGCTTTGCATTAGGCTTTGGAGGAGGGATAGTGAAGTGCAATAGAGAGAAGCCAGATCCTGAAGCTTAGGGCCTCCTGCCCTGGCAAGGCAGCTCTGAGCGTCCCCGTGGGCTCTTGTGCTCTTGAGCTGTGGTGACTGAACAGCCACCGCCTCCTCCAGTCCTGCAACAACAGGCTGCAGACGGGGAGGAAGTTCTTCAGAGATGGGAACGATGACTAGGAACAAAAAGGAAGCAATTTGCATGAAAGCCAATCTCGGAAGCATCAGTAATAATGCATGAAAGAGCGCGTCTGGTGCGCATCCCAAATTAACTTTCTTGCTGAAGATTATTTCTTGGATTATGAACACTGAGGTGGCAATCATAATTAAAAAGAAGCAGTTATCTCATGATGGTTGCTATTTCAGACTGAAGTGTTGTATGAACAGCTCAGACTTTATCCTCATTCTCACCAGGCTGTACGGGCTGTTCTGATATGTCAGAACGTATCCATAGAGGCTCATTTCTAATTATTTTCTGGCCTTGGAGAACATGCGTGCAACTTGCACAATCTGAATAGAAACTGTGTAAGGAAGGCCTGTTGTCTGTAAAACTAGAATCTACTGACTGGAAAACTTAACTCTAGGAGTTATTCCTCTTTCTGGCCAAGATCAAAGCTAGTCCAAGCAGAGACAAAACCGTCGAGTCCCCCAGCTTCTGTGGCAGTTCAGAGCACAGCCAAGGAGTTCGCCCGTCTCCCACCCACAAAGGCAGCTTCGTGCTGCTTGGCTGCATGAGGACACAGCCCTGCACTCTGTGCTGCCTGCTTAGGTTGGAAGTGTGTGTGGAAGCTGCACCGAAAAGAGTGCTGGAAGACAGGAATTGACTTAGACCAACTCTAACATGAAGTTAGAAGGGCAAAAAACCCTGTAGATTTGCAGTACAGGTCACTGTTGAACCCCAGGCCTCTGAGCAGAGTGCTCTGGGCGTCCTGTAATAGCATCAGCAAGTTGCTTGGGTCCCACCAGAACCCCGAGATCCCACTGGGCATCCATTCCTTCAGCCGTCTAAAATCCTTTCGTTGCTGTGGAGGGAGAAGAGCCTGGAAGGTCGTGGTGGCTCTGCGCAGCTGGAGAAGATGGTTGCTCATTTGCTCTGTTCTGTTTTACAGCTATTGTCCAAGGAGACACCCTGGAGGAGATCTACAACCAAGTGAAACAGATCATAGAGGAACAGTCTGGCCCTTATATCTGGGTTCCAGCAAAGGAAAAATTATGAAAATGGATTTTTATTTTTCATTTTCTAACTGACATCCACCACTACATCTGACAACTCTTAAGTCCTTCCAGTGGAGCCTGCCTCTAGTTCTCTCCAGCGTGGTTCATGTCCTAACCATTGCATTCTGCAGTTCCCATAACGCTTACATCTGGTGTCTCTCTTAGTTCAGATAATTTGTATTATTGTGTGTTGTTGGTTTGCCATTTTTCAAGCAAGACAGTGGAATGGCCTGACCAGCTATTAGTTTGGGGTGGGTCGGGGGGTAGGGAATTACTTGATAAAATTCCTTAATGTTTAAGGGAGAGTAACTTTCAAAGATTTTTTCAAAGAAGCTTTGTAGACATTCTTTTAAAATTTCATAACAATTGCAAGAAGAGTTGTACTCATGGAAGTTGTAAATCATGAGCCACTTTGCACGCTTACCTTTAATAGCATGGTTCGGTCAGGGCAATCAATTTCAGGTTTATTTTCTGAGTTTTTTTTTTTTTTTTGTCATGATATTTTTTTCTTTCCAGGCAGTTAAAGAGAAACTTTTAAATCTTGAGTTAACATTTTCATTAACTCCCATTACTACTTCTCAAGGGATATTCATTTTCATAATTTCATATGGATATTCTTATAATCTATTTTTTCATTTTTTTGCCAATAAAATTGCTAGGGACAAAGATGTGTAACATTTTTAATCTTCCTCATGCAACACTATTTATAGTGTCTTAAAAAATTGTTTATAGATAATGGTCATCACACTTTGGAGCCTAAAACATGTTAGGTGCTAGGAAACCTTGTATTTTACAAAGGAATGCCAAGTTTCCATTGGCAGTAATACAGAAAACAGCTGCAGAGATGATCTTAGGTCAATGAGAGTGTGATTCGTAGCCTAAAAATGTGTGTGTTCTTAGGGGTCAGATTTTAATGAATATTTTACCCACAATAACTGCCTATTTTGTTATAATAAATATATATATATATTAAACTTTCTTTAACTAAACTCTGTAACTATGGGAATTATTTTCTTTACATAGTTGCACACACGTATAAATATATATATATAAAAATATATATTTTTCTTTTACCACCTACTCCTAGCTTTTTGTTTTAGCTAAAAAATGCAGATTAGAGTTTACCTTCCTTAATCACATGAAATTAAGTGGGCTATGGTGGCTGGGCAAAAAAGTCCAGGGAATATTAGCTAAAAGAACAAAATATGTGCAAGTTCTCCTCTTTTCTACAAAATTTCAGATGTTTGTACTTTTTTCTTGTAATATGCATGTTTTAACCAAAGGGAGAAGTCAGACTCAGCACTACATTTTATTTTTCTGTGTTTATTCACGGATTGCATAGGTACAAGAACTTCCATTTGCAAAGCACAGACTTCTGTGCTGAATGTTATAAATACATTGTAGCAACATGTGGTTTGAACTTCAGTAAGGAAACTCTGAATCCCGCGTTATTTGGTACCTGCCATGGCTTATTTCAAACTGGTGGTTGTAAGAGGGATGTACTTAATGGCAGGCACGGTGCTGTCACTCAACCAAATTAGCTTTGGTTTGTAAAGAATAATCCACCCTATCCATTCCATTTGTTAGAAAGAGGAGAACAGCTAATAAACTTTATTGTACAATATGGTTGTCAAATGTGTTTTTAATTATAAGAAATACAGGTGATGCAGGAGTCAAGACTGTAAAAGGAAATAATGTGGTAGAAAAGAACTGACCACATGGGGCTAGTGAAGTTGTTATGTTAGATGCAGGTTTGGACTCTGGACAAATCCTCTGGTGTTCTGTGGAGCAGTAAGTACAGGCTGCTCAGGTAGGGCCCAAGCCGTTTGTGTTTCCTTGGACTAGTGCAGACGGTGTGTGCTGCGTTTCGGAGAATCCTTCCGCCTCTGGAACTGCCAGGAGTGTGGCACTGCTGGAAGTTTTTGCAGATAATACTGTGCACTGCAGGCTGCTGCTTCAGAAGACCAGTCATTCGAGGTGTACAATGAAATACTTTGAAGACCAGTTATTCCATTCATTTGGTAAATTTTGCTGAAATGTCTATATATTGAGAAATCTGCAAACCATAATCATGTTGGAGATTTTTACATAGTATGCATTTTTATTTTTCCTACCTCTTCTTTTAGCCTGTCAAAAAGTGTTTTAGTTCCTGTTTTGCTGAAGAGATCTGTGAGGCATTATTCTTCCATAGGTAGGATTGCCTGAATAATTTCCATAACACTTTTCTTTCAAACATTTCTCAAGTATTAACTAGTTGCCACCAATTCTACTTTACTCTCAGGCTAAAGTCCGCCACACTTATCTTGTGTGGTTATCGTGCTAGAGTGAAAAGTAGTCCTGGGTAGAGAGCAACAAACCCAGAGAACTCTGGATTGTCTGCTCTTTGATTGCTTTTATTTTTCCCTGGGACCCTGGCAAAAACGTTGATGGCCCTGAGGCATCTGTTTGACTGTATTTTGTGATCTTAGAGATTTTATATTAATTGCTGTTTCACAGAAACATTAGAATTAGATTCAGGTGTTGTCTTAGAGGTGCTAGACAGTAAACATAGTACCCTGGCCAAATCCCAGCCAGGAGCTGAGTCAGTTATTCCTGAAAGCAGCAGGTAAATTAATGGCTCCATAGGAGGCTGAAGGACGAGGTGGTCAAGGTGCGTGTGGGGTCGGTGGTGGCCGTGGTAGCCCCTGGGTTCCTGGTGCTGCTCTGAGGAGCTGTCGTGAGCTCAGGAGGCGCCTCTGCCTGAACGGGGTGTTAGAGGGAGCTGCAGTGCATTGAGCAACGAACACGTGACTCAGTTGAAGCCAGGCCGAAAGCCACGGCAGCTTCGAATAGAGATCTCATCAGCAGGGTTTACGTTTCCTGGGAGAGGGAAACCTTCCTGACTCTTCATTAAAACTTATTTATTTATTATTTTTTTTTAATCTAGCTACTTGGGTTCTTTCCCAGCATTTGCTATTACATCTCAGGAGATGTGTCCCTAGCACCTGCAGAGTTCACAGACTTCATTATTATAAAAGCCTGCATTTCTCATTATGGCTTTATGTGATTCATGACAACACTGAGAACGTGGACAAAAGTGACTGTCAGCTCTGGCTTAGCTGGACCCGTTTTTGTTTCCTGAGCTTCCATCACAGAGAGACGACACACAGCCCTTGCTTAAGATGAGGACTTCGTTATGCAGCCCTGCCTTGCTGCTGTGAGTTGGGGTGTAGCTGTTGATCCAAGTCTGGTGGTGGTGATAAAGCAGTGACAACCTCACTTGTGACTTGGGTATTTTGTCATATGCAAGTCTTTTTGTTTTGTTTTCTTTCAAGTTTAGAGTTGGCACGAAGAGAGGTAGATCCTTTTTTTTTTCCCCCTCCCATGTGATGGAGGTGACGTGTGCCAGCGCGAGCAAGATAAACCGTGGAGCAAAGTGCATTCACCCCTTGCCTGCTGCTGCCTTCCACCACGGAGCAGACTGGGGAGAGCAGGCGTGCACAGCACTGGCATTTGGGTGTTTTGAAGGCTGAAAAAAAAGCATAAAACCCCCAGCTTTCACCATGAAGAGCTCCAGGAGTGTCTTCTGCCTTCTCTTCTTCCATGCTGGTAAGTGTCCTCTGGAAAGTATTGGTTGTGGCTTGCTGCCTTGGCGGTTGGTCGCTTGATGATGTGAGGAAAATCAGAACCAATTCAAAATGAAGGTGTATGATCATATGTGTCAGACTTGCATGACTGCAAGTCCTCCTGCAGTTCCTACATTATCTGCTTCTGCAGAGAGCTGAAGGTGAAGGATGATACCTTGCCATGTGTGCCACGATGCTCAGAAAGCAATTCAGTTTCCCAATGCTTGTGTTCTGGAGAGGGAAAAACAAACCAAAAAACACCTTTATCTCTGAAAAGCTACATTCCTTCTGCTCCCAAGAAACGAATAGTGAATACAATCTCAGACAGGATGATAAGGTAGATGTTAAGCTTCCATGAGTTTCCTGTTTACCATAACTCTGCCATGCATTTTGGCATTGCTGCAGCACAAAAAATAACAAATAAAAGAAGTGAGAAGCCCTTTCTCCTCTATGAGCACGTTCCGTGAAGCTTCCTGCAGGCCAGGTGAGACCTGGGCTTGTTGAGAGCAGCGGAGGTGGCTCTGAGCTGCAGTGGAACAGCCAGTCCAACTCTGCCTCAGGATCTGGTGCAAAACAAGGTTTGTGGCATCAATGATGTTGCTTGGCCTGCGGTCCCTGGGTGTTTCAGGTTGAAAGAGATGCCCTTTACTACCCCACACTGCTATACAAGTGAAGTAATGTTAACTAGCAAAATTTGATGTGGTGTTTTGACTGCATGGCAATAGTGGGGAAGCAGAGGGCCAGTTGAGAGTCAGGAGAAAAGCACAGTGTGAAAAGTAACATAGAGAAGAATCCAGTTTAGGAAGCAAGCAAACAAGAAAGCAAAGCCCTGGAATTTCCTGCCAACTGATTACAAAAATCATCCATATTTATTGATCAGCATAAACATCTTGCACGCACGTTTTATGCACAGCTGCAGTGTTTGCACGTGGTGATTGGTATATGCTTGTGCAAGCAACAAGGTGCAGCTCAGAGTCCTGCTTTGGCTTCCTGAAAAACACCTTTCCCACTGACTCATGGAGCCCCCCACTACTTAACCTGTAGGAAGCTGCACATTCCTTCTAGTGGCTGTGGGAGGGTCTGTTATCTTAAGTGTTTTGAAGGGGACACTCTACTTCTCTAGTTTTCAGAATAACCCAGCGAGAAGGTTTTTAAGTGCTTAGGACTGCATGTGTTGGGGCACGGCTCCAGGAAGGGCTGGTCCTGCTGATACAGAGTCATTTCTGGATGATCCTTGCTCTCTTAGTGCATCGTTTTAAATATTTTGAACATGTTTTACTCAGCAGAAAGCATTCTATGCGTATGCCAGGAGACAGGGCTGGGGCAGGCAGCGGGGTGCAGTAGCTCTCACCGTGAATGATGCTCTCTAAGGAGTGTCCTGTAGCAGAGTCTATTGTTTGTGTGTCCCCATCTGTCTGCACGATAAGTCAGACCCTATAATCTGGTCAGGAGGATTCTGACCAGTTAGAATTAATGGTAGTGTGTTTTTCTTCAATTTTGACCACATTTTGCCTTTGGTGCTGTACGCATCTGCAGGGTAGCTCCAGAAAACAACCCTGAGAAGCTACTCGGGGCCAGGGCTCTGCCTTGTGTGCCACAGAGCAGCTTCATAGCTCAAAACCTTGGCCACATCCGCAGCTCCCTGGGACGTATATGATGATACCAGATTTTACCAAGTTTTAAGAATGGTCTGGCTGCTCTAACTTGTTCTGTGTCACTTATGCTTAGCTAGTAACAGATCCGTCTTGTTTTTATATCTAAATTGGAACCTATCCTGTTTCTAATCCAATTAAATTCATTGCTCCTGTTACTGTTAATCTGAGTGAAAGGAGAAGCCTTCTTTCCAATCTCAGTGTAGAACAAGCCTGACTTGTTTTGGACGGAGGAGGGGAGTGAAAGTCTGGATCTCCAGTAATTTTTAAATAAGCTTTTAATTAATTAATTAATTAATTTACACAAAGCTTTGTTGGTTTGTTTTTAATTATTTTCTCCTGATGCTCTGTTCCCAGCTGCCAGCCTGGAACGTGTCCGGTGGTGCACGGTGTCCCAGCAGGAGCTGTCCAAGTGCAGGGACATGAGCGCGGCCTTTGCCGGGGCTGCCATCCTTCCGCCGCTGCTGTGCGTGGAGGGCGAGTCGGCCGCTGACTGCACGCGCATGGTCGAGGTGAGCTGCTGCGGGGAGGCCGGCAGCGCCGCGCTCCTTTCTGCACGTGCCGGGCAACGCGCGCAGCTCCGCGCGCAGCCGAGCGGCTCCGCAGCAGGCTCCGCGGGCCTTGGCCTCCCGCCGCGCGGCCCTGTCCCCCTCCTCCCCAGTGCCGGGGCACCCGGGGTTTGGAAGGGGGTCTCTGGCAGAGGGTGGCAGGGGAGGATGGCTGGATCTGCTAATAAACGGTCCTCCTTTGTGGACGTGTCCCAGAGTCAGGAATCAGTGAGGGAGACGCAGTCAAGGACAAGGGGATTGTGGCCAGGAAAATAGGCCTGGCCTATTGGTTTGGAGGGAGATGTGGCAGGTAGTGATGTGGCCAGAAAAGAGGATGAATTTCTAAAATTGCTGTGTTGTAATGTTTTGTAGGAAAAGTAGGCGGCTTGCCTGTTAAGTAATAAACACTTGATAAGTACCATTTTTGACTGAAGGAATCAAGACAGTATTAAAGAACTTGAGGAGTAGATATCAGTGTATGAGGCTTGGATAGGAAATACTTTTTAATGACTTATGTTTCCTAAAACCACTTGGCTGATTGCTGCATTCCCCAGAAAAGGATGTGTTAGACTCTGCAAGATAAGTTACTGAAAGAGCTGATGAGTGACTGCCTCCGAAACACAGCATGCACAGAATTGCATTTGTCATCCGCTGCAGAAAGCAGGGAAATTGCTAAAACTCCTGATGAGCTGAACTCGGAGTGCTCGGAATGTGTCCACAGCTGCTGGGCTAAAGCTTGACAGTCAGTAACCCTTCAGGTAGGGGCCTGGCCTTGGGCTGCGCTCCTCGCTGCTGATGGTGCTGGATGCCTGAGGCTCCCCGCGCAGACCCTGATCCACCTCTGTGCTGAACTCTGCTCCCTGAGGACACATAGGTGATGGGATTCAGCAGTGGAGGATGCAGATACACCGTTTATAGCCCCGTAGCTTGGACTTAGTTCTGTGAGCTCTGTTTGCGTGTGGGTAAAGTACACAGTCATTTCTTTCAAGATGTTTAAAAATTGAGAAATGCTGTAAAATTTAACCTGAAGAGCCTTTCAATATTTAATTTGAGCAAAGCTATTCTTCAGCAGCTCGTTAGACTTCCCTGTGCAATTCACACAGAAACTGAGCCATTCTGAAAATAGTTAACAAACACTGTTACCAGTGCATGTGTGTCTGTCAAAAATCTTATCTGGAACCCGTGGTTTGCTAGTTAAAAGCTTGTTACAAAAAAATACTCTGCAGTTGCTGAGTACAAAAGCAATAATTGCCGAGCTGTGCTAAAACTACAGCTTTGAAGCTGATTTAGGTACCAGCATCAATACCAACATCTGCCCTCTGGGGTAATCCTTTAAAGCCTTGGCAAGCATTTGGTGCGACTCTGCCTGCAGGGAATTGCTGCAGGACACCTGGGGAGCAGAGTCCTACCCCACCTGAGCCCACGCTCAGGAAGCTGCCAAGGGTGTGGGGTAAATCATGGCCCTGCAGTGCTGAGCTCTAGAGGTTAAGCAAACTGGTAAGAAACTTGGTGTCAGCCTAGAACTGCAGAGCGGTGACTTGCTCTGGACTTTCTCAGCAGTGACTTGTCTCTCTGCCCGTTGCCCTGCCCTGGCCCAGTGCACAGGGAGAGCCGGGTTTGGCCATCAGAGATGTGTTAGTAGCTCCCTAACCCCTGCTGCTGCGGGCAGGCCTGGCCAACGCTAGTTAAAATCCAGTGTAATCCTACGTCTGTAGCAGTATTCCAGGCGGCTCCATGTTAGTCGGCTGAAAAAATAAGGTCATTGGGCACCTTCGCAGCAGTGGATGCCCAGATTACCCCTCTTTCTCTTTTGACAGTCCTTTCAGATGCTTCTTTTCTGAAAGGCACAACCAGGGCTACTTGGTTGCATTAGTCAGCAGTAGGGTTTTATCTACACTGTTCTCTCCTTGTTTCCTTGGGGTACTTTTGGGCCTGTAATTTCCTCCTTTAGTTCTTCATTTTGCATGTTGTTCACTTTTATCACGTGCAGATGATCCTTGATTTCTGCCTACGTTAGCTATTTATTGCACTAAGGAATTTGTAAATCCTGTTGCAGGAACATGTGCTCTGGTTCCTCTTTACTGCTGTTTTACTTATAACAAAAAAAATTTCTGCTGTGCAGAATAAAATTGTGTTTTTTAGGAACAAGCAATTCAGCAGAGTAAATATTGCTTGTAATAAATACTAATCTAAAGGGAGGAAAATATCAGAGGAGAGCAGAATTTTTGTTTGCTACAGCTCTACTTAGTGTTAATATAAACTTGTTCAGACAATGTATTACAAGGGAATGTTCATGTCTCCACGTCCCCTTTCGCCTTGCCCCAAAGGTGTATGGCTGCTGATCTCTCGGGGAACAAGCTGGCCTGTTTAGTGTTGTCTTGAAAATGCCCTTTGGCATTTGTGTTTTACAGCTCTAGAAGACACCACTTCAGAATGTCTGTGTGTGAGCTCAGAAATATGTATATTTTTTTTATTTAAATCTTCAAGCTTTGGGGCACTAGCTAGAGAAAAAAAAAACAAAACAAAACTCCTTTGCTTCTTTGATGAGCCTCCAGACTTGTCACAGAGCTGGAGGAGGAAAATAAGGATCCATTCCTAAGATTCCTTCAAACTGTGAAGCCTAGTGAGGCGGCTAGAGCGGTCGGGCTGCATTATTTTTTGAAGGAAGAGGATTTTGGTGTTTAAATCCATACTTAAGTGTTCATTAGTAAATTGAGTACCCTAAAAAGGACTTTGGAGACAGAGGAGTTCACAAATAGAGACTGATTGCATCCCATGGCCTCTTCTCTCAAATTCATGAATACACTGCCTCTGACTATTGAGAAATATTAATAACTATGTTTCAACATTTATTTTAACCTTGTGTTTTGCACAGGATGATTTGGCAGATGCAGTGACACTGGGTGGTCTTTCAATTTACCAAGCTGGAAAGGAGCATGGGCTGAAACCTGTGGTTGGGGAAGTGTATGACCAAGGTATATTCAGACATAATAACTTCTGGATTTGTTATATAAGCTTTTTTTCCTATGCATTTTCACTGTTTCTGTGTTATTTTAAGGTCCTCTTGAAGAACATAAACGTGAGGTTATGGTCACATTCCCTCTCGGATGTTCTTGTCATAACAGACTGGGAGGGAAATGGGAGACCAAGGGCTGTCTGTGAAATGCTTAGGTCAAAACAGCTCTTTCTGTAATACTTCTTTATTGTCTTACTGCTTACTGTCTTCCCTATTCCAAACTTTGCACGTAAATCAATGAAATACAAAATACGAAGGTAAACTGTTACCAGCGCTGTGTCTCAATCCTATAAACTGCACAAATGACACGGGGTCTCCGGGTGCCGCACCGCTCCGTTGGGAGAGGGAGCGGGGCTGGGGGAGCAGCCCCGGCGCCGCCCGCTGCCTCACGCCCTGTGGCCTCAGGTGTCCCTCAGCGCAGCCTCCAGCGGGCCGCGTGACCCACAGCTTCGTCAGTCAAGCTGCGAGCTCCAGTCGGGGACAACCGAATGAAATTCAGTGGCTTGTGTCAGATTAAAGGAGCTTATGGTCACTTCTGACTATAAACCCTTGCCTGTATGAATTATGTCCCGCAGTAAGAAAATGAAAATGAAATCATATGTGATGCTGCAGTGACAGCTATGTTGAAAGATCAAATTAATAGACAATATGGGAATTCTTTTTACAATTAAATCTACTTGGTGTTAATTTACAGGGCAAACTTCAAAGTTAGAGCAGCTTACTGTGGTGTTTTAGACAGGACAATTCACACAGCAAAGTCAATAGGTGATACCCAAGGTCAGCCGGTTCTCCCCAAGGATGCGAACAATGTGTCTGCTCGATGAGCAGAGCCAAGAGACGCCCCAAGTCAGTGCATCACACTGTAGTGCTGCCTCTAGGCTCCTTTGCTCCTGTTTCTCCCTCTGCCGCAGAGATTGGAACTTCCTACTACGCCGTGGCCGTTGTAAGGAAGAGCTCCAACATCACCATCGGCAGCCTGCGGGGTGTCCGCTCGTGCCACACGGGCATCAACAGGACGGCAGGCTGGAACGTGCCCGTGGGTTATCTCATGGACAGCGGGCACCTGGCGGCAGTGGGATGTGACCTGCCCAAAGGTGGGAATGGAAGGGCCAGGCTGCTCCTCAGCGCAGCCTCCGTGTGTGTCCTGGGAGTGCTGATGGGGACAGGGGCCGGGGGGGATGAGAGCTGTTTGGTTCTTGGTGCCCATGCTCTGTGTAAGATGGAGCAGATCCAGCACGGAGCCAATGCAGAGTGCAAGCTTTGTTAACCTGGAAGTCATCTTTTAAAAACAGACTGAATTATCCCTTTTAATGTTTGGACATGTAGCGTATAAATGTGCTAAAATGGGATTGTAGGATCTTGTTTACCTGTTGCTAAAAACATCTCACTCTGCTTTCACTTGTAGCTGTTAGTGAGTATTTCAGTGCAAGTTGCGTTCCTGGAGCAAAGAACACAAATTACACGGAATCCCTCTGTCAGCTCTGTAAGGGGGATGCGTCTGGGCAGAACATTTGTGAAGCAAATGCGCAGGAGCAATACTATGACTACAGTGGGGCTTTCAGGTAAAAATCCTGCACAACCACCTTTGGGGAAACTGTTGAGAAGAGAAGGCCTTGGCAGTTACATGCCAAGGGTTTGGCTCGTGGGAATCGTGGGTTCTGCTCTTGGTCCTTGGCTCTTTGCTGCAGTTTTGCTGAAATGAATAAATGTGTAATATCCTGATGTTTCTTCATCCATAGCATAAGAAAAACAATACTCTAAAAGTGCAGACCTAGTGGGACTGCCATTGTTCTTTACACAAGTAGTATTTGATTTAATAGAATTCAAAAATTGAAACCTTTGGAAATCTCTCTGCTTGTATAGTATTTAATTGACTAAATACCACTGCTAGTAATCACTACTGCTACTAAGACAGGCATATTGTGACTTTCAGCTGTATTAAGTGTTAGGAAATGAGATGGTACAAATGGTATGCATTCACAAACGTACATTTATAACAGTGATGCTAAGAAATTTACTTAAACCCCAGGAAATCAAGATTTGATTTCTTGGGCTTTATTTGAAATGCATGATGGAACTCACTGCAAGTCCCCAATCAACAGAACAAAGCGAACTGTTGTCTCTAACAGCAGTAAAATGTTAAAAGCTTGTATTAATGTACATACATTATGTATTTTATAGGGTGTAACTTTTTATCTCTATGCTATATCCATTATCACAGTGTCTGGGTCTCTCTGGCAGGAACTTGAAGGCAGGGAACTCGCACTGGATTCCAGCAGATAATCTGCTAGCTTGTTAGCACAGTCGTGATTTAAGCCTAGGGACTGAACACCAGTAATCACGAACCACTATCTCAGGAATTAATACCTGAGTGTTAAAGCTAACTGGGTACCTAATGCTTGTGCTGGGCAGGGAAGTCCTGCTGCTGTTCACTCTGCCCAGCGCTCGTGGACACGAGCCTGGCTGTTCGCTTCAGCAGCTTGTATCTGCGGGTGAAGCCTGGTGACCCTTCAGAGCTCCTTGTCCCTCCTCAGCAGCCCTGAGCATGTTGTCCACGTTCAGCAAATGACAGTGATAGTTACTTCATGCTCTGGCAGCCACTAGCCCCTGCCTTGAGCTAAACTCCCCACACAGGGGTAGGAAGGAGGTCAGCAGCTGCCGCAGCGAATCCCGGGGCACGGGAGCAGTGCCGGCAGCGCCCAACCGGCCTCGGCTTTGCGCTTCCTCCAGGTGCCTGGCTGAGGGTGCGGGAGAAGTTGCCTTCGTGAAGCACAGCACCGTGCCTGACAACACGGACGGTGAGTAAGCTGAAGGCAGGGGCCGTTTTAGCAGCCCAGCTGCGAGCGCTGCAGTAAATGGCAACTACCATTGCAGTACAGTGGCTGGAAAGACAGTGCAATGTCAAATGTTGGAGCTATTTGGAATTGAAGAGTGAGCAAAAGCGCTGTTATAATAGAAGTAGATGTGTCCACATATGTATGTGCCTGGAAGATAGGTGAGCCCTTTTTCCAGCATTTTTTTTTTTTTTTTTTACTTTCAGTCTAGGTTAGAGGTGGGATCTTTAATTTCCTCTGGAAGGAGATTCATCAGCCCTCTGATGGGTTTTATACAGGCCGGGGCTGCTATAAGCATAGAGATTGCTTATTCCTACCCAGAGGTTTCAGCAGAGACCAGGAGAAAGGGCAGGCCCTGTTTTGTTGAACTCTGCCTTGAACATAATATCATTTAAATATTATGAGCCTGTCGGACTGTCATTAGCTGCTGGGGGCGGGGGAAGTGTCCTATATGGTCCTAGACTCGGAGACACTTTTGATGCTGCTGTGGACCCCAGTGCAGTTCCGTGCGTCTGATAAATGTTCAGCCACTACCTTATCAGAGGTGCAAGCCTACGGGACCACACAGATACACAGGATACACTGAGTAGCAGGAATAGCTCAAGGATGTTCAGGAGACCCCTATTCTGCTCCATGTGCACATGCAGTGCTTAGCACAGACTTGGCGCCCATCATGAGCACCAGCCTGATAAGTTATCTTCTGTTTGATTTCAGGAAAAGCCTCTTCTCCGTGGGCTCAGAAGCTTCGCTCCAGTGACTTCCAGCTTCTGTGCCGCAATGGCAGCACAGCTGATGTGACTGAGTGGAGAACCTGCCACCTGGCCCGAGTCCCAGCGCGCGCCGTGGTTGTGCGGCCAGACACAGATGGCACCGTTATCTTTGAGCTCCTGAACCAGGGACAAGTAGGACACTGTTTTTTTCCTCAGTGACTTGCACTTTAGGTGGATCCTCCCACCCAACTGGGTCGAAGTGAAGAGGTGATGGGCACCCCCTGCTCTGCGAGGAGTTTGATAGGGGATAGGGAGAACTCAGTCTCTGGGTGGAGAGTCCTGAAGGGGGTTATGCACAGTGGGGCTGAAGGCTGTATTTGGCCCTCACAGAGTCTGGGACATGGAAAAAAAAAAAACTTTGTTGGGGGAGTATTTTTTCACTCATTTTTAGGTGGTGAGTCCTCCATGAAGAAAATCCTAGTTGCTTGTTGCTTGTCCTTCCTAGAGGCAGGAGATGGTTTCCCCTTCCCAAAGCTAATATTGTCAGAGACTTCCCATGTGACACCTGCATACAGGGACACGTACCTGACATGACCTTTTTGTTCCTTTACCATAACAGCAAAGATTTAGTGGTACAGATGCCGAGTTTCAGCTGTTTGACTCAGCAGCCTACGGTGCCCAGAATCTTCTGTTCCGAGACGCCACCACCGAGCTCGTTGAGATCACGGCTCAGAGTTACCAGGCTTGGCTGGGGGATGAGTATCTTTACGCCATGCGAGCCCTGAGCTGTGACCCCAGCTGTAAGTTGTCTTTAGATTCCTCTCTGTACCAGTGAACAAAGATAGCTGATAACAGAAACCCTCTTTATTCTTCTTCATCGTCTTCTGATTCTTGGAGAGTTACTGGGAGATGCCGTCTTCATTTCATAGCTCAGAGGAAGGGCACTCTGTGACCCAGAATCAGTGTCACGTTGTAGAATGGTTTCCTGTGCAGCTGGCACGTTTCCAGCGTTGTGAGATATGTGCATATTCTGCCCACTCTTGTGTACACAAGCCTTGCATTTGGTAGTAAGCAGCTGCTCCTGCCTGGTGGATACTCTTTCTGGATACCTGTTAAAGAGGGCAAATAGCAATTAGTTGCTGTGTGAATCCTCAGATAGTGTGTGTAGATAAAAGGATGAAGGGGATCCTTTTCCCAAGGTGGAGAAACCCTCTGTTGCCCTTGGAAGTGTTTCACAGTTGGAAGAACGTGGAGGTGACTTGGCACGTGATTTGACAGACATAGAAACACAGGTTGTAAGAATCCCTGTGTGAAGAAGCTTCATAGTGATGGCAGCTGAGCCTCCCAGACCTGCTCTGGGCTGGGACAAAGCCGGTATCTCCAGGACTTGCTTTTTCTGAGGTTGCTGAGTCTGCTCAGGGGGGCTGTGCTCTTGAGGGAGCAGACTGCAAACAGGGAGCACCTTGCGGCTGCGGCTCAGCAATAGCAGCAGTTCTGGTTCCTTCGCTCCGCATAGGTGTGCAGTACGGACACAGCACTAATTTGGAGACCTCTGTGGCTCCTGGAGAAGATGCAAGTCTGTGCTGAAGAAATGGAGAGAAACAGTGGGCGGGGGGATGCCTCCTTGTCTGCCTCAAAGAAAGTAAACTCTAATATTTGCTTTCCAATTTTGTGCAGCATTGCCAGAGAGCATGAACTGGTGTGTTGTATCCACTGAGGAGATTTGGAAATGCAGTGAAATGGGTGTTGCCTTTCAGAAAAAGAATTTGAATCCATTAATCCAGTGCTTTTCAGCTGAGACAAAAGAAGAGTGCATGGAGCTGATCCAGGTAGGAGTGCAGTGAGCAAATCGACACAAGCTGCTCTCTGCTGGGTAGGTGGGGTCAGAGGCCTGGGAATTTAGGCAAGTGGTGGACAATATTTGGATATTCAGGAGGGGATCTGCAGCTCACGTGGTACGGGTGAGGTGGAGCCCTCCAAAGCTCTTCAGTTGTGTAAAGAACATCTTTGTTTGTCTAGCTCGGACCACTGTGTCTGAAATCTAATGAGGCTTCCTGTCCGTTTCTCATGTTTTCTTCAGCAGATGGTAGCTCTTTTGCTACCAGCCTTGTCCTCTGAGATGTGACATGCATTGATGTTAGAGGTGTCATCGTTGTATCAGGGAAGCACAAAAGCCCTAAATTTTATTTGATTTTTCAGAAAAAGGAAGTTGATGCTGTAGCTCTGAGTGGAGCTGATATTTATACAGCTGGGAAGAAATATGGCCTTGTACCAGCTGCTGGAGAAAGTTACTCTGGTAAGGTCAGGAAACATAAACATAGACCTTATTTTTTCAGGATTAAAAAAAAAATAAAAGAAAAAATAGTAAGGGTTCAAAAACCACCACCTCCAAGCCTGATTGGAAAGTTGTTTGCCAAGGATTATTCTCTCATCATGAATATAGGAGGAAAATGAATATGGAGTGGGTTTCTACAGTGGGTTTGTACCAACTTTTGTCTGTCCTGACACTGGGCAAGCTTGGTGTGACAGCTGATGAATCCTTCACCTTTTTATTTTTTTCAATTCCACAAACATTACTTGCAATGGAAAAATGCACATTCATGCACAAGATTTAGCAGAAGCAAAAATACAGAAGTAGCACTTCTGTATTTTCTAGTTCCTAGAATGTTTATGTTTCTAGTTAGAAACAATTGGTGTGTAAAATAGCTCGCTGCTTAAAACAGTTTTGCCATGTCACTAGTGATTCAAGTATCATTTTAAGACAGATGTGTTTGAGTTATTAATAAAAGCTCTTTCATGGCATTTAAAGTATTGGTGTTCATCTCTAGATTATTTAGTTCAAGTGCATGGCAGTACCAGTATACAGGCTGTATGTGAATGCAACATTTTAGAGTATTAGAAGTAAAGAAAAATTCCATATGTGCTCAGACTTCATAGCCAGCTGGTTGGTGCTGTTTCCTTCATATTGCACGAGCTGGGAAGCTGGCGCTGGGTAAGGGCAGTGCACTTTGCCACTGAGCAGGAGGAATACTTAAGGAGGGCTCTAATGCTGGTTGTTCGTTTCCCCAAGCCGATGACAGCAGCAACACGTACTACGCCGTGGCCCTAGTGAAACGAAATTCTTCCAATGCTTTCACCATCGGTGACCTGAAAGGGAAGAAGTCCTGTCACACGGGGCTGGGCAGAACCGCGGGCTGGAACATCCCCATTGGCGTGCTAATTAAAAGGGGAATTATTAGGCCCAGAGACTGTGATATTCCTCAAGGTAAGATAGCAAAATGGCATATCAAAAGCACAGTAACATTCTAATTATATACTTCAATTAAAGAAGTAAATTCTGATATGTCATAGCTCTGTATTAAGCCTATCTGTTTTTATGTGTAATGATGTGTTGTATTTTTAATTTAATTCCTTGAAATTTTATATTTTGTATTGCCGGGGTACACAAATGGAGGCGTCACATTGAAAATGTGGTTACAAAAGAAGTTACAACCTCTACGAGTTTGTAACTTCAGGACAGCATAACTACCCCTTTTTGTGCTTTTTGCTTATTTTGTTTGTCTGTTTTCTGCAGCTGTGAGTGAGTTTTTCTCCGCTAGCTGTGTTCCTTCTGCTAACCTGGACAATTACCCATCAAAACTCTGTCAGCTCTGCATTGGAGATGATAATGGGAAAAATATATGCAGCGCAAGTAGCCAAGAACGTTATTATAGCTACAGCGGAGCCTTCAGGTAATTAATAGATGTGGTTGGCATTGCTGGGTTGGGAAGAACCACGTGAGCACGTGGTGGTTGGGTTTCGGGCATGCTGGCTGCCGAGGGACTCCTCGTGCACGGCCACCTGCTTGGAGCTGTCTCATAGCCTTGTCCTTCCATCGTAAATAAACCCAAAGCCTCAAAGACAAGAGTTAACTCCGACACGGCCCTCGCCACCACGCAGTGCTGTTTGCCAAAGCCTTTTGCCAGCGCCCTGGCCCAAAGCCAACCAGGCGACCTACAGCCCAATCCATGCGCCTGCTGGCAGAGCCACCCGCCGAGCGAGGAGCAAGTGGATTGTCACTGGGCTCCAGTCTCGCTTTAATGTGGTGTGGCAGAGCCTCCCAAGAGCCTCGTCACCCCTGCAGAGCCCAGGCAGGGAAGCGGGCGGCCTGGAGCCAGGATCTGGTGCCCGTGAGTTTGTGCTGTGAGTGGCACGCGGGTAACGGGGCTGGGGCCGGGTCCCCGCTGTCCTTCCCCGTTGGTGGCTCTGTATAATGGCAGCTTTCTGAGCAGTACAAACTATGACCAGTGCTCACATTTCAAAGACCTCTTCCAAGCAAGATTTATTAGAAGTATAGAGAGAAACTGTAAAATTGAATAAATGCTTTGTGTAACAGCTGATACCTACATATGGAACCATACCCAAAAAGCTGGGACTTAGAAACCCCTGGGTGTGTAAGTAGCAATTGCTTTTCCTGACCTTCACCCCCAAGGTAGTGGTGTGTGCAGCAGAGCCTTCCTCCTGCAGGGAAGCAGACTCTAACAACGTCCAGTGTATTTCCTTGGGAGAGTGTACAGGCAAAAAATGCAATTCCAGTTACTAGTGAAGATGTGGTTGAAATAAAGATGCTTTGAATTGCATTTTCTCTCGTTTCCTAAAGGTGCTTGGCAGAGAATGATGGGGATGTGGCCTTTGTGAAACACTCGACAGTATTTGAGAACACGGATGGTACTCAGCTTTACATGTCTCTATTACATTCAGTTGTTTTTCCTGAACTGTTTTGCTGTAAAGCATTAAGTCACAGTAACTAGTTTCTTCTTTCAGGTAAGAATCCTGACAGTTGGGCCCAGAACTTGAAGTCCAGTGACTTCCAGTTGTTGTGTCTAAACGGTGCCCGTGCTGAAGTCACTCAGTTTGCTGAGTGCCACCTGGGTCAGGTGCCAGCACAGGCCATTATGGTACACCCGGACACCAACGTTTTTGCTATATACGGACTACTGGACAAAGCTCAGGTATTAACTTATGTGGTAGTTAAATAAGATGTAATACAGACCAAGAGTGAAGATGACAGAGCCACACTGCATCCCCTCAGTCATGGGACTGGCAGCATGCGTGGGGCATGTCTGGGAAGCTGTGTTGTTGGAGGGGGAAGAAAAGGTGAAGTGCAAGCCCTGCAATCCCCCGAGAAAACCACCCTCCTGCAAAAGAGATTTCAACTTTTTGCCTAGCCACTGGTTTCTGCCTAGCCTAAAGTGTTCTCCCAAGTTGCCTGACTTTAAAATCTAAAATAAGGTACATTAACACTTTTTCAACCTTTATTTTTTTTTAAAGGAATGCAACAGTGTATGGGAACAGAACATGACTGGGTATATTTGTGCTGCAGTGATGTACATGGTAAAGCATCCAGGCAGATCATGGCTGGCAACCTCAAGCGAGAGCTTTTTCAGTGCTGAAGTTGCCCAGGATTTCTTTTAAATTATCTGTCTCCGTGCCAGGCTTCAGTCATTTCTGTAATTTGCATGAAGCCAGGTCCTATGTTACATAATCACACTTTAACACAAGGATTTTTAAACATACAGCACCTTATATATAGCGACAAGGACCAAAACCCAAATGCTGCTCTTGTACTCGCCAAGAGCAGATTCTGTAGCTAATCCAGTGGAGTTTCTGAAAGCAAACACCTGAATTCAGTTGTGCTTGAACTCTCCTCTGTGAAGCAGTTCTCACTGTTGTCTTTGCTGTACTAGAGAAGCGTGGCATTTAGTCTTGCAAAGTACTGAAAATTTTGCATTACTTTTAGGAATTTTTTGGAAATAGCAGCAATGAAAATGGATTCGAAATGTTTGATTCTTCAGCTTTTGAAGGAAAAGACTTGATCTTTAAGGATTCTGCTGTTGGGATTGTGCCAGTAAAGGAGAGAAGGACGTATGCAGAATGGCTGGGCAGTGAATACATCGAGTCCCTTGAAGGGATGCAAACACCATCATGCTCTCGGGCAGGTAATAAGACACCTGTTAGTGGCTACTGGCATCACCCTCCTGATATTCTGTCAATTGCAAGGGTCGAATTAGCATGGCCCAAATTGGAGGCTTCTAGGCCAGGCTCCCACCGTTTCCTCAGAGAAGCTGCTGTTTGGACAACATGCTGTGCTCACGTTTGAACGCTTCTTCCATGTGCTAACAGCATCTGCTCATTAGGGGAGCGGGCTGGGGCTGGAAGCGCCCTGTCCATGTGGCTAGGTTGAAATTTGGAACAGCAACCATCCACACTATGTATGTGTGCTCCCCAAAATGGAATCTCCTCCTGGGCTGAATGATTCGCGGGTGCTGTTAGGTGGTTACTGGATTTCTGATCTGTGGAAGACTTTCTGCATCAGAAATCTTGCCTAGTGAATCTGGCCTTCTTGTGGGGAGCGCTTTGACGCCCACTGCTCCATCCCTGCTTATCTCCCTTGCTGTGGGCTGCAGTTTCTCCTGAGCTCAGCTGTCAGAAGAGGTAAGTGTGCCAAGATGGACAGGCTGTGGACAAGGAGATGCCGTTTGCATTCCAGAATGCAGCAAGGTCCTCCACCTTCCAGCAGGGGAAAGTAGGGGGAATATCTGAAATTACTGGAGGAAAAGAAAGGCTGGGAAGATGTGGAGGGACTGGCTATTGCTAAAGAGCCAAGACGATGTCCATCCTCTGCGTTTGCCGACCTTTTCCCCAAGCAGCACACTGTCTGTGGGTTGCTTCAGGGAGAGGTCGACTTCATCACTTTTTTTTTGATTTGATGCAGTCTATAAGAAACATTTGGTGGTGCTCCTTCTGCATAGGATAATCTGTTAGTGTGTGCATGGAACATGTTTTTGATATTAGCGAAGCGGTACTAAAGTTTTGATTAACCGTTTTGCGTCCCGCTCGTAGCATTCGGTTTGTGTTTCTATCCACAGCTGCTGGTACAGCCCGTGCTGCCCTGCTGCTGGCTGGCACTGTCCTCCTCACTGCAGCCACTACCTCGTGATGAAGAGTCACTGCAATGTAAGGGGCTGGTAAAACCAAATACTGTGTAAATAAAGGAGATGTAACGAAAGGAAAGGAGAGTTGTTCGGACTTTGCCTGACAGCCGACCCGCGGGGTTCCTGGCGCTGCCCCGCTGCCCTCAGCTCTCCCCTCAGCCCTCCCCGCGGGGCCGGCTCGGCCCCGCGGGCGCCCAGGGGGATGCACAGCTCATGTGCAGCCGTCACGCTGCTGCGGTGTGCACAACCGGAGGGGGATGCACAGCTCATGTGCAGCCGTCACGCTGCTGCGGTGTGCACAACCGGAGGGGGATGCACAGCTCATGTGCAGCCGTCACGCTGCTGCGGTGTGCACAACCGGAGGGGGATGCACAGCTCATGTGCAGCCGTCACGCTGCTGCGGTGTGCACAACCGGAGGGGGATGCACAGCTCATGTGCAGCCGTCACGCTGCTGCGGTGTGCACAACCGGAGGGGGATGCACAGCTCATGTGCAGCCGTCACGCTGCTGCGGTGTGCACAACCGGAGGGGGATGCACAGCTCATGTGCAGCCGTCACGCTGCTGCGGTGTGCACAACCGGAGGGGGATGCACAGCTCATGTGCAGCCGTCACGCTGCTGCGGTGTGCACAACCGGAGGGGGATGCACAGCTCATGTGCAGCCGTCACGCTGCTGCGGTGTGCACAACCGGAGGGGGATGCACAGCTCATGTGCAGCCGTCACGCTGCTGCGGTGTGCACAACCGGAGGGGGATGCACAGCTCATGTGCAGCCGTCACGCTGCTGCGGTGTGCACCACCGGAGGGGGATGCACAGCTCATGTGCAGCCGTCACGCTGCTGCGGTGTGCACAACCGGAGGGGGATGCACAGCTCATGTGCAGCCGTCACGCTGCTGCGGTGTGCACAACCGGAGGGGGATGCACAGCTCATGTGCAGCCCTCACGCTGCTGCGGTGTGCACAACCGGAGGGGGATGCACAGCTCATGTGCAGCCCTCACGCTGCTCCGGTGTGTGTAGCCGCGCGCTCATGGTGCTCCTGGCCGTGCACACAGCCCGCGTGCTCGCCTGCTGGGGTCGGGGAATACACGTACACAGCAGCACCAAGCCACTACACACAGCTGGTGCACTTACCACCTACACCTGCTCGGTGCAAACAGCTGGTGTACGTGGCCAGTGCACTCAGCCTGGTGCTCACAACCATCCTGCTTACCTGGCAGGTGTGTCCAGGACACACAGCGAGCGCGCATAGCCAGAAAATACTTCCAGGGAGCTTCCCTGGTCCATGCAGCCAGCACGCTTGCCCCGTGCGCTTACTCAGCACGTGTGGCGGGCACACGTGTCCCCCGTGCAGGCGAGCTGCTCAACAGACCCACTCTGGGACCACATTTGCACTGCCAGCCCTTGTAGCACGTGTGCTGGGTAGAGTATAATGCTGTATTTTGAAATATGTAACCATATAACCACCACATAGCATCATATGTTAGATACACCTGCAGTCCCACACTGCAAATATCAAGCAGAAATTTGTTTAGAAAATGGGTAAATTGAAGAACTGACAAGCCTCGTTTATACTCCCTTTTAGTTACAAAGTGGTTCTTGTGAACCTTGTAGCTGATCTAAAATTCTAGGTGACTGCTTCTGTTGCTGTTACCTTAGTAAGTGGTGCCTAGGGCTGTTTGACTTTGTTTTTTTTTTCCTTGAAACTTTACAAATATTAATGGAACACTCCTAAAAATTTTAGGGCTGATAGTCTCAAAAGTTTAGAGACTGCTCTGCATCATGATGCCTCTTATCTCACCTCTTCTGTATCCCTACTACACATGATTGCTCACTGAATAAAATCTATTATATTTTTTTTTTCTTTTTTCCTCCCTCTCTCTCTAGGAGATATTTTAAACCTGCACGTCTATTACCCCTGGGAGTTCCTTTCCAGCTCTCCTTGCAGAACAGTTGTTTTCCCATTAATGACCTCTGGAGTTACCTACTGGGTGATCAAGTGTTTGCAGCAGCTGGACGTATGGTCAGGTTGCATCAACAGCTACACCCTTCTTGTATCACCTCGCCTTCTCTTCACAGTCTTTTCTTTCATACTTGACTATAGTGTGTATCGATTAGCTCCTTTCTGGGAAGCAGATCCATGGAAAGCGCTGGTACTTCTTGCTGGATCACATGTCACACTGGTGTTTTATACGAGGACTTTTGCCAATACGCTGGAAGGACTTTTGTTTGCTCTTCTGATGGTTTTGGTTTCCTCAAGAAGGTCTGGTGGCAGCTCAGCAGAGCCTACAAGTAACCATCTTATAGGAATTGTAACTGTTGCTGGGTTTTTCAACAGGCCAACTTTTCTAGCATTTGCTCTAATGCCGCTACTTTATTGGGTAGGTTTAAATATTGGCTCTCAAAAGAGCATCAAAGCTGGCATAAACCACTTTCTGAAGCTAGTCCCATGTGCTTGCTTTACTGCTGCTTTTTTCGTAATGGCCGACACTTGGTATTTTACCTCCATGAGATTAGACAACATCTACAGCTTTGAAAATAACAGTCTATTTGATATAATAGCTCAGTTAAATCAGAAAATAATAGTGACCCCTCTAAATTTTCTGCACTATAATCTTAATCCTCATAATCTCGCACAACATGGAAGTCACCCACGAGTTACACATTTTATGGTCAATGGGATAATGCTCTTTGGGATCCTACATATTCTGGCCATTGGTGCTGGTTTTAAGATGATAAAGAAATATGTCTATATATTACCACAGGTCAGGTCATATTACCATGGGTCGTCTAGGATATTAGTGCATTCTGATGGCAACTCAGTGTTGTTGTTGTTTTACTTTTTTCCTTTGGCATTCCTCTCCCTCTTCAGTCACCAGGAACCTCGATTTCTGCTTCCTCTTATCTTACCATTAGTCCTGTTCGGTGCCTCACAGAGCAGAGCTGTGAGGTGGAAAGCTGTCATTATTGTTTTCAATGTTCTTGGGGCTCTGCTGTTTGGATGCTTACACCAGGGAGGCCTCATCCCATGCCTGTTTCACCTGGAGCAGCTCATGCATTCTCCGGAGTCCTCAAACCATCCAGGACGCTATATTCTCCTCTTTGCTCACACCTACATGCCTCCAAGGTCTCTGCTCAATATCAAGAAGGGAGATACAAATATAGAAATAATTGATCTGGCTGGGTCTGAAGAAGAAAAACTCTGCCAAACAGTACGGCAGCGAGCAAACAATTTTACCTGCAGTGATTGCCATTTTTTTATTATAATTCCTGGTACAGTCAGATCCACAATTACAAAATGCGGTGTCTCGTTCAAGAATGAGACTTTAATATTTCCACACTTATCAATGGAAGATCCACCCCAATTATCCTTTCTACTTAGTGAAAATTGGAGAAGTCAGTTAGGACTATACATCCTGCAACTAGACAGAGCTCAACAGAATCTTTAGACCTCAAGAGAACTAGGTCCTAGTTTTTTGCTTCACTTTGGTTGTGACCAAAAGTGCTATGAGATCTTCCTCTTCACAAACGCACATTCACACTGTGAACTCCCCTTATTGTCTTTATTCTTTTTCTTCTTGCTCTTAATATTCACCAGTGTTGTCAATTCTGGGTAGAACCTGCTTAAAATCTGAGGGTCACTCAGTTCTTGTGAAGTCTTACGAGCGTTTGTAACTTTCCTAATGAAAGAGGAAGTTAGAACTCGCCAAAACACTGATTTGAGCTCAGTTCTCTACATGCAACTGTATTTTTGTGTATCTTAGATCCTCTGCTAGAGGGTTTGTGGGTTGTGTTTTTGTTTTTGTTGCAAATTTGCATTAACTAAGCTGCTGGAGAGAGAAGTCCAAACTAGACGGAAGTTGCTCTGACCCAAATTGTTATACTTTTAGGCTCTTAAAAAATCAGTCACTCTCAGTGATTAGACCAACTGCAGTCATAATGCACCTAGCAGTACTGCAGTATTGTCTGATGCTACTCTTAGGTGGCCCTTTTCAAGAAAGAATTTGATTTGGAATACATAAGAAACTTCAGCAGAGGTACTTGTGATAAATCCCAAAATCTGAGTGCTGTTTTGCCCGGTGAATGTTTATTGCCCCAGTTCCCTTCCTGTGGACAGAGGTGCCGCACCTTGCAAGCTGAGGCTGCTGTTTCGGAGCATGAAGCCTGTTGTGTAGCTGCAGATGGAGCAGTACTTCCCTTTGACACTCCGCTGTGCACTGCTCTCTCTGCTTTTCACAGCCCTGCCACAAGCAGTGGTGCAGAGAGCTCAGTTAAGGAGCTAAGCAATCAGAAAACTTACCGGATTTGATCTTTTTATGTTTTTGACTACAAAAATCAGAATGGCTGAGGTTGGAAGGGGCTTTTGGGGATCATTTAGTCCAATCCCCCCTTTCAGGCAGAGTGATCTAGAACGGGTTGCCCAGGACCGTGTCCAGCTGACTCTGGAGCATCTCTCAGAGGACAGTAACCTCACAGCCTCTCTGGATAAGCTGTTCTACTGCTCAGTCGCCCTCACAGTTTATAAGTTTTCCTTGGATTCAGATGGATTTTCCTGGTTTTCATTTCTACTTGTTGCCTCTCATTTGGTCACTGGGCCCCACTGAAAAGAGTTAGGGCCATCTTCTTTATTCCTTCCCCCTCAGATATTTATAAATAGCAATAAGATCTCTCTCCCTGAGCCTTTCCTACAGAGCCTAAATGATCCGTGCGCTCTCAGCCCTTCCTCATATGACAGGGGCTCCAGTCCCTTAATCCTCTTAGCTGTTCTTTGCTGGATTCGCTCCAGGAGTCCATGTCTCCCTCGTGCTATGGAGCCTCGCACTGGACACACCGCTCCATGTCTCACCAGGGCTGAGGCAATGGGTCTCCTACCTTCGCCTCTTCCCGATGCCATCAGCCTTCTTGGCCACCATGGCACATTGCTGGCTCATGGTCAACTTCTTGTCCCCCAGGACCCCAGGTTCTTCTCTGCACTATTATTTTCTGTGCTTGTGTATAGGGTTATATCTCCCTAGGTGCAGGACTTTGCGCTTCCCTCTGTTAAAAGTTTCCTGTTCCTGTCCTCATGGAAAATTGCTTCCATGAACCCCATCATCTCTGGCAGTATAAGAGGAGTGCTTGGTGCAGAATCATTCCTATGGCATGATGACTTCTATGCCATTGCAGATAATCTGTGGTAGATCAACAGATCACCAATTCAGACCTAAAAGGCACCACTCCTTGCTACCACTGATCCAAGACAGGCCTTTAAGCCAGCTACTCCGTTTCTGATTTTTCTTCACCTACCTGTCAAATGGACTGTCATCCTATCCACCACCAGCAACATCATCAAGATTTTTAAAGCTCTCTTGGTGTGAAGATTGCAACGTCAAGGTAGAATATTACCACTGTACAGACAGCGACTCTGAAGACAATGCCCACGAGGAACTGTTTTTATTTTAAGTTCTTTAATCATGACTTTAAAGTGTCAATTGCCGGTAGCCAGAGCGGTGTGTCAATGTATTTTCTCTGTTACCGCGTTTCGTGCAAGTGTAAACCAGTTGTGAAATGAAAATCTGTCATGTCAGAAAGCAGCTTTGCCTCTCCATCCTCGGCTCGGGGCTCCGGCTGTGAAGAAGGCAGCACGACGGGCACCTCACGGCGCGTTGCAGGGGGTGCAGCTGGCGCTGTCGGGCCTCGTCCCGTCCCCAGGTCGCCGCTCTCCTCCCGGCGCGGCCCCCGCCGGGCTCTCCGGCCGATGCGCTGTGACCCGGGGCCGCCTCC